CATTGGCCCAGAGCATCTATGCGCCAAGTTTCATCAAAAACCGATGTATGGTTCTTGAGATAAGCAGTGGAACAGTCGGACACACATACACACACACACACATACACACATACACACATACACACATACACACATACAGACACACTAACTGCAAAGACTCCCATTTTGTGCTTCGCACATGGGAGTCAAAAAATTTAGACCAAGAAACCGCCCAGGGCGGTTTTTCGGCAGTTTTTTAAGGTGTTATTTTAATCTTTTCTGATGCCTAAAAGTTTCGCCGTAGTCATTGACTAGAGTATTGATGTTTATTGTGACTAGCGGTGAATGGGTTAGCTTCATTTCGACAATGAGTTGTTATCGCTGTAAATAATGTTAAATTTTTCTTCAAATGCTCAGTTTATCTTTTGCAAACAACTTATTTTTTGCCACTTTCCCATCAAAATCCAAGCCAAAAGATCATACAACAACATCGGCAAATCTCTTCCATGCTGAGTTCAATAACATTAACATATTTAAATGTGTTATGATAATTTGAACACGTTGGCATCATCCATCGTTTTCATTGTTTAATTATCTATTTGACCTGTCAGGTCAGGTCAAAACATGGCGCATATTCATTTCTACAGCATCAAGCGTTGAAAACGCGATCGAAATCATTCGCTTACGATGAAATAAGTTGAAATTTATTTGCATTTCATAACAATTAATTTTTTTTTTGCACGTTATTATAATCATTACTAGCTAATAATCAACAATTGTAAAACGCAGCATGACCGGATTGCGCTACCACGTTCATTCGCTACTAAGCAATGCAGTTGTGTTCGTTGTTATTTGAAACTTCTTTTGTAATATACTTTTGTTACTAATAAAATGAAACAAAATAATTGTATTTGGCGCACGATGTTCGTTAATGTGATTTTTTTTGGAGAAAGATGCACTGTCTACTTATTAATCCAGCTAGGAAAAAATGTATACAGCTTTAGTTTCTTTCGTTTTGGGGGGTCCAACTGTCGGTGTTGAAAGTCTGCGTAGGTGGATTTTTCAATGAAAATATAAGCCCCCTAAAAATATTTGATGATATTTTTTTGAAAATTTCTACCCCAAATAAGGGCCCACCAGCCGTGAAACCACCCAGGGCGATTTTTTGGATGGGTGAATCTACGGCAGAATCCAGTATATACTGATAGTTATTAACTAATGTATACTTACTTCTTTTGCACAGAAATGCTGACTTGAATCTACATTGCTGTACCCACATACGTGAAAAGAATTCATCTAGTTGCCATATTTGTCGTAGCTGTAACTGTCCACACAATCTGTCATCTTTATCTGAGACTGATGGGCCTATCAACGGTCCATCGTCGTTTATAATACTGAGAAAACTTTCATCAGCAACTTCCCACTCTGTGGTATGGTTATTTTTAACGTAGCGATATCCCATCCACCAATTATAATTAACTATTTTCTCATCAGATTGCCAATGATGACTTTTGATGAAAGCCAGTTCTGTTTCTGTGGTAACTGTTGCCAAGAAACCACCCAATGTGCTACACTGATCTTGAGCCTCCTCATAAGTGAGTTTGGCCTCAAAACTGCGATAACAACTGCCAGTCTCTGGGTATATTTGCCAGCCTATAGGACAATCACCTGCAAAAAGCACAAATAACATGGAGATTTGAAGTGCTGAAACCAATTTTATTTGCTTCAAAATTAATAATGTCAGATAATAATGTCTGCTCTGAAAGAAACATTTTATCAATAAGTTGCTGCAGATTATCTATATAATTAAGTATCATGAGAGAAAATATACACGATATAGCAAATATTATAAAATAATGCAAAGAGAACTATTAAAATGGACTGAGAATCTTGTTCAGTTTATAGGTGTTCATTTTATAGACGTCTTACAGCGAAGTCTAAACTAAACACCAAATGGACTGAAAAAATTGTCCAGTTACACATGACCTCTAGTTTTACAGTGTACAGTGGATTCCCCAAACACCAAATGGTCAGTTTATAGAGGTCTTACAGTGGTTTCCCTAAACACCAAATGAGCAAATTATTAGGTTTATACATACTGCTCATTTATAAGCAATTCAATAAAAAGGATCATAAAACATTTTTTTTTTTTTCAATAAGGCAGGCAGGATTCTGACTTAGACACCATTAGTATATTATTTTCTATTTGGGTCACCTCCAGCAAATGATGTTTTTATTAAAAACAAGTCATGAATGACACTGCCTTCGCTAGTTGTCATTCTAAAGTTGCATGGACATAAATTGGCAAACGTGATTTCTATGGCATTTTCAAGTTTATAGCACTCTCCATCCAGGTCAGCATTATTCTCAGCAAGGAAGCTTAGAAAGAACTCCCGTGTGCTGAGAGTTTTCGAGACACATTAAAAATTAATTCAAAATTACTTATACTTGAGATATTGATGGAATAGCTGAAAACTAATTATGCAAATAAGGTAACTAATATGAACAGATTTAGGTGTAAAACTAATAAGGTCTGCACAATG